CATGGCGATAAAGGACTCGAGTGGTGTCCCTCTCACATTTCCTCATCAGTCTTGGCTTCCTCCTGCCTGCCTCCGGGCGACTACAAAAGCGGGATGATAAAAGAAAAGCAATAATCCTGCTCCTCATATGCAATCGTCCTCCTGAGACAATGCTCCGCGCTGGAGATACCCTCCCCTCCCTCCCTCCCTCTCTCCGCCCGGCGGCTGCTATCGCCGTGCTGCCGTGCTCTATTGCCAGCCCGTGCCAGCGCGGTGCCAGCGCGATCAGCTGTTCTCTGGTGGCGACTCGACTGCGAGCGAGACCAACAACAACCGCAACCCCAAACTAACTAACTACGCGTCAGACGTCGAAGAACAACTCACCTCAAAGGACTGGTCGACGAACGCCACCACCTGGTCTCGGGAGGGTGTGCCACCGGTCTTCTGCAGCAGCTCCTGAAAGCGGCGGATCGTCTCCTCGGGGGACTGCTTCACCTTCTTGTCGACAAACGTCTTGGAGTCCGGAAAGACGCCGGCGAGCTGGACGACGCGCAGCAGGTCGCCCTGGCAGACGACGGCACTGCAGACCAGGCAGGTGGGGGGCGTGGTTGAGGACAGGTGGATTGGGGGGCCGTCCACGCCGAACGCGGCGGCCGAGAAGCGGCGCGACCCGCAACACTTGCACACGGACACGGCCCCGGGCGGCAGCCCCAGGGCGGCCAGGGAGGCCTCGCCCGGCCACATCTCCTCGCGGCTCGGGTGGCGGCAGCACCTGGACACGGGCCTGCCCGCCTGCTTCGTGAACTTGAGCACTGGGATTTTGGAGGCCTTGAGCATGGCGAGCGACTCCTGGCACAGCTCGTTCATCTCGTTGACCGAGTGCCGGCGCATGCGCTGCCCGATCCTGGGGTTGCCGAGGGAGGCGACGTTGACGGACAAGCGCCGGATGCGGGGCTGTCGCGGGTGCGCGGCCGACTCGGAGGCGCGGCGTGAGCGCGCCGCCGCGCTGGAGGAGGCATTGTAGACAGACATCTTGCGCGTCTTGGGGGTGGCGGTGCCGCTGCGGGTCACCAGGCCCTCTGGGCTCGTCTCGGTGCCCGCCTCGTGATCCTGGTGGTGCATGTGGGCGAACACGGACGAGCAGTCCGACAGCTGTCTGGAGAGCATCCCGGACGGCGCGCCCGCCCCGGACCCGTCCGACAGGCGGCGGGGGCGCGGGGACGGGGCGTTCTCCAGGGCCTCGGCCAGGGCCTCCGGGTTGATGGTGAGGGAGCCTCGACGGGAGGCGGCCTGGCTCACAGAGTCGGGCATGAGGTCGTCGTACAGCGAGTCCCTCGAGTGGTAGCGCGACAGCGTCCTCGGGGTGTCCGAGACCGGGAAGTCCGTCGTGTCTGGCAGCTCCAGCGGAGCATCTTCAGGAACGTCCGGCAAGTCGGGCGCCTTAATCACCGGCTCGAACTCTGTGATGGTGGAGTCCTCCGGAATGGGCTGGAATTCGGGCTCCTTACTAACCGACGGCTGGTCGGGCATGTCCGGGGCCTTCTGCGCCTCGGACAACACCTGCTCGTGGTGCTCGGCGGGCAGCAGCGCCGGCGCGTCCACCCGCTGCTGGGCCTCCTCGTCCATGATCAGCTTCTTCTCCAGCTGGCTCTCCAAAATCCCAGGCAGGTTTTCGCCCGCCATCACGTCTGCAACCGGAGGCGTCATCAGGGGCTGTGGCTTGGGGGGCGGCGAGGGCGGCGCGGGGGCGGCGTCGTGCGCGCGTAGCTCGGGCATGCTCACGGGCGGTCGCGGGGGCAGCACATAGGGGTAGAACGGCGCGGCGGGGCGGGCGCGACGCGAGTGAAGAGCGCTGGCGCACTGGCCAGGTGTCGGCGCGGCTTAGCTCGGCTCAGCTCAGCTCTGTGCGGCCCGGCTAGACTCACTAGCTCGCTCGAGCCCGTGGCGGCTGGCGGCAACCCAGCCTGGCGCGGCGCGGCGCGCTAACCCCCTCCTCCCCCAGGACGGCCAGCCGGCGGTGGCGGCGGTAGCGCTGCCAAGTCCCCAGCCGTGACGGCCTGGGGCCCACCGGGGCCCACCGCGACGTCGGTGGCGGGGCGGGGCGGTGGGCGGGGCGCGTGTGCGCTTAGAGACGTCAATGCCCACCGACCGACACGTCAGTCGCCTGTCCAAATTAAAATTTCAAAAGAAAACAGCTCGCAGATGTTCGCGACACGAAATTTTGGCAGAAGTTTCGGCTCTCAAGCATGTAGCTCTCAAGCACAATGGCAGGCAGTACTTCGTCGTACTGCTCGCGGCCCACCCAAGTAAAATCGCAAATTTAACACGTGAAAGACAAAAGATTCATGCGCCGCGGCGGAGGGGCACCGTGACCTCCGCAAGGTGTTCTCCATGGCCGCCCACGTGCACTAGAGGTCGTCGAACACCGGCGCGCGTGATACGTCGATGGCGCGCTTCGATAGCTCGATTAGACCGCTCGCTGGCTCGCGCCAACGCATCCGACCGTGAGGACATCCGAGTGTTGGCCAGGGGCGGGTCCAGGCGATGCTCTGCTCACCCTCCCACCCTCCCAACCTCACAGCCCCTCGCCCTCCAGCCCGACCGGAGCCGTCTGCCGGCCGAGTGGACCTGTGTCCGAGACCTGTCCTTAAGTCTGGACTATTCTCTTCACTCTATCGCCCTCAGTTGGGGTTGAGACTTACAGCCAGATTTTCGCAGATTTTATGATTTAGACTTGGTCCAGGTCTCTCGTCCCGGCCTTTCCGTGTGCCGAGTTGAGGTCGTGCCAGCATAAAAGAGACAGGAAAACATGATAGACAGAAGATGAAACTATCTGTGTGACAATAATTGCAGTTACTGCTTCTGAAATAAACAATTATTTTTCAGGTGGTGTGACGACTTTACATCGCCTATTTCCCCAAATTTGGCAACCAAGCCGCGTTGAATTATTACTCGGAATAACAAAGCAAAGTCGTCACGAGTGACGAACGCCCCGCAAAAGCTGGATGTGTCCCATGCTAAACAAGGCCAAGATCCCCCTCGCATGCCAGCTCGGCGGCCTGAGGGCTCTACCTGTTCCTGTCGGTCAAGTGCGCGGGCGCGGCGGCGCGGGCGGTGCGCTCCAGGGAGGACGGCGGCGTCGTCGGCGTCTCCGGGGCAGCGACGGCGGTGGCCTCCGGACTCCCTGCTGCTGCGCTCGGCGGTGGGACGACGGGCTTGTCGACGCTGCTACCGAGCCTGAAACAACAACAGAACCGTCCTCAAAAACAACCCCTGCTGCTGCTGCCGCCCGACACGAGCCTCTCCCAGCCTCGGCGCGGGCCAACATCACACCTGGCATAACATCAACGCGAGTGGAAAATGTCGCGGTCCTTGTTTGTGTGCGTGGGACGAGCGCGGGGCTTCCTTTGCGACGGACGACTCGGCGGAAAGTCCCATGGACCACTCCACAGAGGCCCGTGTAAAACTATTCCCATGGGCACATCATATAACCTAGGCCCACGCGCACGGCAACATAATCTTATTTCACTTTTTATTTTTATTTTTCCAGAATTTATATAGGAAAAAGTGGCGGCCTTGGTCCGCGACTTCGCGACGCTTCGCGTCGAACCACCGCGAGCCCGCCACGCTCCGCCACGCAGCCGTCGGGCAGCAGACTGGGTGGGTATCTGGTACACCGCAGGACCACCACAGGCTTGCCAGTCATTTGCAACCCAAAGCCAGAGAAAGACCAAACCGCGCCACCAACAGAATCTCAAAAAAAAAACAAAGAAAAGAAAAAGCAACGTATAAACGCATCCCGCGAAGTCGGCACAGAAATGCGGACGCAAGGATCAGAAGAGAAACCGCCAATCACATACAAGGAGAGCAAACGAGACAATCCGAGAGAGTGGAGCAAGATCTCGAATCCTCTGTCCCGCCGCGCCCGAGCCTCTTCAAATGTGCCCGCCCTCCGCTCGGAGGCGCCAGATGGGTTGCCTACCCCCACGGCTGCGAGGCGCGCCGGCGGCTCCGCGCGAGAGGATCCATTCGCCGCGGATATCGCCAACGCCAGCGCGCGCTTTCGACCACCGGCGGTGCGACGACCATTTTCATCGGCTCGCGACTTTTCCTCGTCGCCGGTCAAAGGTCCCCGCTCAACGCGACCGCGAGAGATGATGGTGCATCGTGCGCTGCGTTGCGAGATTCAGAAGCCCGCGGCAGCGCAGACAGAGGAGGTCCCGGGGAAAGGAAACAAGAAAAAGGGAACGAGCGACTTCCGAACACGATGACACGATGTATCTCGCCCCGACGACTGAACCGCGATCACGTGAACGGAATTAACGCAATCAGTGATTGGACCCGGGCGGGGCGGGTCAGCCACAGGAGGATCCGCAGCAGCATCATAGCCGTGGCTTGTTTGTCCCTCCCTCCCCCTTTTTCCCTCTCCTGTTTTTCGGTCCCGCCATCTTTCCACTTGCCCTAGGACTACACAAAAACAACAACAACGACACAAGCTTGCGTCGCGGAAGTGAGACGTCCGACGGCGCCGCGACTGCGTCTCGCCCGGGTGGGGGCGGCGGCGGCGGCGGGCGCCACCAAAGCGGGGCGCGCGGTCCTCTCCCCCCGCCCCCACCACACACGAGTGGGGTTCGTTTTGGGTCACGGCCAAACAGACGGCGCGTGCCGCAGCCGCACCGGCCGATCTCAGAAATGGCAACAAACTGCGTCCCGGAATGAAACCCATGTCCGGCCGCATATTTTGGGACCGATCGGTTGCCATCTCCAACCAATCTGCGGGGGTCTCGCGTTGTTTAGAAATTTTCGTGGTAAACAGCGCATAAGATAGTGGCATAAATAGATTAAGGGAAGTAGAGAGGCCTCCCGAAAAAAAAACAGAGAGGGCGCTATCATTTATGAATGAGCGTCGGAAAAGTTTCGGGATAATCCATTGGGCGCCTCATCTGTCAAATGTGTCACAACCGCCACAATATGAGTTGGAGGTTAGGGCGCTGTAAACACAGCAACAGAGTTTAAAACCGCGCCTCAGATGCGCCACATTTGTGAAAAGCCACAATTTAAAGAACTATGCAGGTTCATATTATTTTGTCTGTCAAACCACCTCATAATAGTGGCTAGTAATCGGTTGCACAATCATGTCGTCTACATAAAAGCGCCAACCTAAGAGTAGGCTAGAGGTTTCAACTTAATAAGTGCTATGAATATATTCTGGAATTCTCCACTGTAATAAAAATAATGAAGACTAAACTATAACCAATCTTGAACTTAAATCCTGAGAAAGTAACAAAAGTGTTGGATAACTTACGTTTGCAGTTTCCTCTCTGGACTTCGTAACGGTGATGTGTCAATTCGTAAAACCTTCACAAACTTGACGCACTGCTCCAAAGGCTCCTTTGGGATCAACCAGTTAACTCGCCCAAACATTCCAGGGGTGTAAAACGTCAATTAAAAAGAAATTGGAGCCTCATAGTCCACCTTCACTAACTATCTTCGTTTCTGCTGTAACTAGCAGACAGAAAAATTTCTTCATTTGTTCGCGTATGTGCAACACTGCTGCCAACCTCAACAGCGTAACGTCAAATTAAGAATTGGACACAATCACTTCGTTTCGCCATGTTTAGGGGACCAAGTAGTTAAAGGAAAAGTGGATAAAATAAAATGTATGGGATTTGAAAAGAGCTCGAACAATAGATTAACTCTTACACATTACCCCATTCTTTGGTACCGTTAAATTTTTCATTTCTAAGGACTTTGTTTTGATGCAGCTCATTCAAACTCAAACAATGGCCAGACACGAACGTTTTCTTGAAAACCAAAAATTTTCTCGCTATTCCCAGTTTAGCAAACATTAAATCCCTTTTAAATTCGAGCACTAGATTTTTCTGTATACTTTCACTTCACTCGGTTCGCGCACTCCACACACCACCCCTTTGCGCACTGCTGCTCCCCGCCCCGCCCTCCGCCCCCCTCCCCTGCATTTGTTGTTGTTGGTGTTGCAGCAGGTCCTGGTGTTGTTTGTTCCACCCCCCTCCCCACCTTCACCTGTCATTGCCATGCCGTAAACGGCCCTTGCCCACCACCAGTTGCTCGAGGGCCTCCATTGTGACAGTTGAGTGTTGTCTTGTGACGTGACGACGACCTGACAGACATGTCGGTGATCCGAATGATAGAACCGCCCGTGGCGCCCACCACCGAAGAGGTGTGGCATGCATTAGTTGAAGTTCTTGGGCCCCGTGTCATGTCGATGTATGAGCTGAAACAAATTAATGGACAGCGCAAGTTGTATCAGCCGCGCCTCAGCGGGACGCCTCCCCCCGTCGAGGGATGCGAAGTGTTCGTGGGACGTCTCCCAAGAGACCTGTACGAGGACGAGCTTGTGCCCCCGTTCCTCCAGATCGGGCCCATCTATGAAGTGCGGATGATGATGAACTTTTCCGGAACCAACAGAGGGTTCGCCTTCATCACTTATTTTGATAGGGAGACTGCTAAGAAGGCCATACGTAAATTGGACAACTTCCCAATCCGATGGGGTCAAGCAATCGGAGTGTTGGCGTCCATCAATAACAAGAGGCTTTATTTTGGAAATTTGCCCAATTTTAAAGAACTCGTAAGTATTGATCAACAATTTTTGTCACACTTTTTCTTTTGGCTTGTCAAGAAATCAGTTTTGTGACTTATTTTCTTTCCTTTCATCAGAGATCAAAACTCTACACTTTCCTGAAGGAAAACACAGAGGGTGTACATCAATTACACCTGCGGACTCATGATAAGGGTACCGCTAATGCCATTGTGACCTACTCATCTCACAGGGCGGCAGCTATGGCCAGACGAGCTTTGATACCTGTCAAAGATTTTGTGTTTGGGCCACGCGCCATCATTGATTGGGCTGACCCAGCTCTGTAGAACTTCATCTCAAGTTCTGTTGTAGAACTTTATCTCAAGTTCTGTTGTAGAACTTTATCTCAAGTTCTGTTAAATTCTTTTCCTTAGAGTTCTTTGATAGAATTTTAGAGGAGACCTTTTTAATTTTTACTCTTGGTGTTTTAATTTTTAACTACTTTTTACTTAATCGTGTTTTGACATGTCAATTTCTGTCATTTAGAATTATAGAATCAGAATAGTAAATGCCATCATTTATTTTTGGTATATTATAATGCTTATTTTCATTTCACCTATTCTAACATTATCACAGGTCAAATCACTTTAAAAGTACATACATTCATAAAATCAACTAGTAACTACTGGTCCACCAATTTTATACCACTAACAAGTAAAAGTTACAACTCACATGATTGTTAAAAGATTTCAAAAAGTTGTGAAAATTAAATAACTGTAGTCAGATACAAAGTTGATAAAGGAGACACTGACACTACAGAGCACTAAGGTGTATTAATACACCTTGCAGAGCACCACATGGTGGAATTAAATGATGAAACAAGAAAGAACTGCTCCACAGAGTGAATGTGAAACAAGATCTTACTTTTTGAAGTCAAAGAATGAAAGACAGTGCAAGTAATGCAACTCTTAAAAACATCAACATTGAGCGATTACACACACAGTAGAAAACCACAGCAGAATATATGCTTCCAAATTAAGTGCTTAGCAGCAACCACATAAAAAATACATAAAATACAGTTGCAAGAATTGGCAGTCAAAATTAAAAGTTAAAGTTTTATACCAGTGCTCAAAATGTTGAAATACACGTCCTGCTTTAAGACATCTGATAGTACAGTAGCACAAGGGTAATGGATTTTGGCAGCACTAAACAGTGCAAAACAGTTTGACTGTGGCACAGCCCAGGAGCGCAAATTACAACAAAGTGCGCCACATATCCAAGATCAAAAACATAAGTACCACTAGTACCATAGCTTGTTGTGTTTGCTATTTTTAAATGAGATCAAAGTTTTGAAAGGGAAACAAAAAGATTTTAACCAGAAAATCAAAGTGCTCACATATAACACACATATATGATGCATACTTGTCAACAATTAAGTAGGCACTAAAACTAGTAAAATGATTTATAAGGTCAGTTCAATCTGTCTGCTGATCAATACTTTCATAAGTTTTTGCAGGAGTAAGGTTTCTCCAATTTTCTGTTTTTTGTTTTGGTGACAATTTCTTGTCATTTGTTACATTTCTGAAATAAAATAAATATCAAATATCACAGAACAAAAATGACAATGTTCATTAGTAAGGCTCTAGAAAGCAAAATGCATACCTTTTTCGCCAGACATATCCATCCTCATCATTACTACGATTGGTGGGATGGTTCTCTCTCTTGGGGGATTCTTTGCTCCCCAATTTCTTGTTACTTCCAGATAATTTTCTTTTATGTTTAGGAGATGATCTGTCTTTTAAAATTTGCCAGGAAATTGTGTTTAAGTTTCCTCCCTCTGGAGGGACAATAGATTCCCAATCACGGTCAGCTTCTACAGCATTCTGTGAGATGTGAATTAAATAAGAATCAGTCAAGAATATTTTTGATAAAGATAAAATACGTAGAAAAAAACTCAGTTACCGGTGACTGAGAAAAGGTGTGAAAGATGTGATAGTATGGCTTAAAAACAGGCTCATGTCTAACAATTTGCATGGATAGCCATGAATGAAGCAAAAGACGAGGAAAGCGATCCATCCAGTACATCACAAATTGATCAGGTATTGTTCCTAAACTCTTTTGAGCCTCTAAAGACAATTCTCTGTAGTGATGTTTCTAAAGAAAAACAATCATACATTTTTTTTTAAAGTAGAAAACGTAAAGGTTAAAACTCCTTGTACTCTAGGAAACAATTAGATAATTTCATAAATGAAGATAATATTATACCTTGTTACGCAAAGCACGCAGCAAATCTCGAACACTAAGCCCTCTGTAATTACGGTAACGGCGTAGGTCTTGAGCAACTTCATCACATATATGCACTCTCCAATCTCCACGGACAACTCTTGGACCATCAGTTTCTAGTGCTTGTAGGGCAGAACTTGTACTCGCTTCATCCTTCTCAACTCTGTCACTCACATCCTACAACAAATATTAAAATGAAATCTTCATGGACTTGAGGCATCATGGATAAAGACACTAAATCCATGCAAACAAACCTGGAAGAAAGACATTATTTTAGCTTTGCTCCAAAATAGAGGATGTGCAAGAACAGCTTCAGCAGGAGGCCTTTCTAAAGGTTCCCAACTCAGCATACTCTTAACGAGAGAGCCAGTTAGTAGCTGGTCTACTTGAGAACCAACCAGGTCATTTAATCTGTTGAGAAGTAAATTTGTTGTAAAATTACATCAATATGCATGATCAAAATAAATACAAATTGAAGAAAAGGGAATACCTGCAATCTCCACTTAAAATATTAGCTTGTCGTCTTAATGGGTCACCAAATGGGTGTTTACCAGATGTTTTCACATAGTAAAATACACATCCCATTGAAAATATGTCAACGGCACAGGTCTGAATGTAACAATTTAAAAACAAAACAAAATTAAGGTCTTGTCTGTTGGGCACTGTAACTTTCTCCAGTTATTTGATTTGGGATGCAGGATTTAATTAATTAGTAATAAAAATACCCATACCGTACGTCCGGAACCAGATAGCATCTCAGGGGCTATCCAGCCATCTGTCCCCGCAATACCTGATCTTCTTGAGAAAGACATTCTACCTTTCTGCAGTTTTTTGCACAGACCAAAATCTGATATCATAGCCCTGACTTCGCCATGCACATTTGGAACAGATAATAGGACATTCTGTGGTTTGATGTCTCTATGAACTGAGTAAAACAATTAACATTGAATAATGCACCTTAAGAAATCTTTTTTTGAGTACCAAATTCATATGATGCCTTACCTATGTCAAGGGAATGTAAGTGTGATAAGCCAAGAGTAGCTTGTCTCAGTATTTCAGTGGTGGTAAGCCTTGACAGAAAGTTCTCATAAGTGGAAGAGACTCTTCCCTCCATCAAATCAGCCACAGTGGCAGCTGCCAACTCTAGGGCTATGTATCTGAACAAATGGTCTTGTTCCGTACAAAAATACCGAACAACATGAGCATGCTGATCTGACTCTCTAAGAAGAGCCACCTCGCGATCAGCAAGGGAGAAACACTCAGGTAAAAGCCGCTTGACGGCTACATTACGTCCATCAAACAAGCCTCTAGAATAGATAAATGATACAGACTTGTACACTTTGTTATTATTGATACTGTTTTCAAAATAATTTTTAAAACAAGTATTTGTAAAAATATGTACTAAAACTATTTTCCTTATGCATACCTGTACACAAATGTGCCTTCACATCCCTTTCCAAGAACTTCATTGGTGAAAAATGTTATCTTGCCAACCCGGATGCCTCCCCCATGAAACTCAGCAGGCTGGGAAACCAATCCAGAATCAGATTCCAGACCCCTTCCACTTCTTGAGCTCTGAGACATTTGATGGATTTCACGCATCTGCAACATCATATGTTTTTAAGAAGATAGAAAATTATAACACACTCCATTGAAAGGAAATATGTTGTGCCATGATATTACCTTTCCACGGACATAACAAAATAAGGCTGCCATTGAAATTATTATTAATGCCATTGCAACCTTTAAAGATTTATTTTCCTGTTGACTAATCCACATTTTAAATCCTGAATATAAGTGCTGAATGCATTCAGAAGTTAACAGTGATGAAAAGTTGCCAGCCACAGCCTAAGACGAAAGACAGACAGAATTTGGAAACACAAAATTTCACAGTGTGCTGAACATAGTCTTTAAAGGGCTTTTCACAAATCTTGAAAGAAACTAAGTGCTTACATCATCCCAGCAGGAACTATTTGAACTTCCACTGTTGTTACGCTTTGAAGAGGAGCCGACATTACCCTTGTCAGCTCGACCATGTTCATCAGTTTCATTCTCTAATTCCCAATCAAAACTGACATCATGTCTTGGCAAAGGAATCATGGCATTTGTTTTCTGAATATCAGGTAAAACTGCATCACTGTAAGATGGTGCTTGATAGTGACCTTTCAAAGAAACACAAAATACGTTCAATTTAGAGCCTTCATATAAAATTAGTGTTTTACGTATTGGGGTACTATTTCCTCAACTACTAAGAACTAACCAAGTATGATAAGCGGGTATGAAGGTGAAACATCAATTGCATTTGTTGAGGGTAACAAATTATCCAGACTACGAGAGGATGGATTTTCCTGTTTCATCTGAGGTGCACCGTGAGGTGCCCTATCTGAACCAGATGTGGGGTCATCATCTGGACCCTCAATTAACAGAGCACCAAAATTCAAGTGGTTGACTGTCACTACACTTTGATCAACAAGTGAAGGCAATGCATAGAGTCCAAAAGGATGTTCTCCAACGTACAATGTAGACCTGAAACCATTTTCAAGGGTGATCAGTAATCAATGACCTAACATATCCAATGTTACATTTAAAAAAACAACAAAAACATATGATGAATTACTTCAATTTCAACTGATCGGCATCCAGCCATGTTGACTTTGTTGTAGATTTTAATTGAACAGCTAAAGCATCAAGTGTTTCCTCAGCAACACTTGTAAAGGGACATGAAATAAGCCCATCAGAATCAAGAATATAAACACCTATAACTGGAGACTCATATTTTCCAGACCAAAGGTGGGTGTGTGTTCGTCTATCCATAGTTATAACTCGGCCTGATGAGCTACCCATGAAATGTACCATTTCTGTAAGATGGTGGAAAGGAAAAATTAAAACATGACAAAAAAGTTCAGTCTATTGAAGTTTAATTTCACACTGTTGTATGAGAATTGTGTACTTAGTACTTACCATAATTTTTAAGCAATTCACTATCCATAGCATTTGCAGAGTAATCAAAAAATGTAACATTCCACTTGCGTTCTTTTTTCTTACTGTCTAGCATTATGATATTATACTCTATAATAAAATAATATCAACAAATTGAATTAGGAATTTAATGGCTTGTCAGATCGCAGTGAGATATTTTGAACAAAACTTTTGAATGCTAACCTGTTCTCCCAATAAAAAGGGAATTTGCACTGTCTGATAGGGGGCAGACATGCTCACCATCCCAACTGAGCACTGGTTGCTTGTCACCTGTCTTAGGGTCCACAGTAAACCATGTATCCATCTTTTTTCCTGAGAAATAGAAATTGCAGATAGAAAATAGTAATTTTGATATTATTATGTCATTTGCAGTCTGTTAGAAGAATTTGAAGAACAGTATGTTTAGCTCTATATTTAGGCACCTGTGTACAGAATTCCATCCGAGCTGCGGCAGGGCGACTGAGCAACTAGCTGAGGGATTGTGAATGGAAGTTTCTTCAACGCATCCCTTTCTGATCCACCCAGCACATACAAAGAACCATCTTTGGGATCAGGAAGAAATATTGGCCTAAGGGCAAAATAATAAGGTCAGATCATAAATCTTGAAGAAAATTACTCTAATTAGGTAATACTAATTCTGATATGTATTAATAAGTACTTACGTAACTGCTTTGGATGCATCAATAGGAACTTTGACAACAGGTTCTATAAAGAAAAAAATACATAGAAGAAGATCAGAAGCACTAGCGTTCTTTAAAACCTTACACATACACAAATTTTAAAAAATAGAGCATATAGGTTTACCATCTTTTAATTGCCATTGAGTAATTCCAGTAAGCCGATCAACTGCATATAATGATCCGTCAAGAGTAGATAAAAGTAAAAGTTGATTGTCTTGATGCTCTCTTGCAAGACTAGTGCTAGACCGCTGAAATAGATTGTCATTACATAAACGACAACAAACAGCACAAAAAACAAAAATGATTGCTAGAAGAACTAAATACTTACAGCTACTGTGCTGATTTTGCCTTCCAGTTGGCAAGATAAGCATAATGTTATCAACAAAATTCCTGATATCCAAGCCATGTTAATACTTTATTCTGATATTCGTCAAACTGTACAATGTCGCAACATTTGCTCATGCTAGTTATTTTTTTAGCAGACAGCAAAGAATTTTTAAAAACCATATGTTTAGGTTATACTGTCTTGCTAGCGGCAACTTCATGAAATTTCATGTGACTCAACTGACCTAAAATATAAAATGTAAAGTGTCAGTTTCTCATAAAACTAAGACAAGTGGAACTGTAGACCAACAACGTCAAAAAAATAAAAAAAATAAAAAAAAATCAAATCAAAAATTTCCAGCAAAAGAACTATGTAAGTGCATCCCTGTTATCTTATTTTGACACTTGGACTTAATATTGACATGTCCCGAGAACAAAATATATTTTCTCTCTGCACCTTTGATGTTTTGAACAGGATCGTAGACCACTTCTTTGCGCATATATTTTCACATTTAAATACAAGAATCTGGCTGGTGTAAAACCATTTGTTGTGGCACAAGAAGACATTACATATCGTCTCGTCCTGCCATTGGTCATTGGTCAACGATGATAACAATCCGACACTTTTCTTGCCAACTGCAAAAGTAATATCTTCTCAGTAAAAAACACTTAGGCATGTTAGTACACAAAAAAACCTCAATAAAAATGAAAAAAAGTATGTCGTGAAATTAATAAAAGTGAAACATTGTAGTGTCTGAAAGACCTATTGGCTTGAATAAGCGGATTACCAAACGTAGGGTTACTGTCTGTCAGCCTTTTACTCCTCCCTCACTCCCTCCCTCTTCTCTCTCGTCTTGCCGACTTTCAGTAATTCGCAATTTTTAGTGCAAGCCGTTTTGGGGAGAAAAGAAAATAGATTGATCCTTTTAAAACTCAGGCCCAATTACCAGAAGTGATTTGGTCAATTTACAATCAGTGTAAGTGATAATCGCTATTTCTCTTCATTGCGTTGTCAACAAAGCAGAGTTCTGTTTGGCGTAACCTACAAGTTTCATGGCATTCTATGAAATCAGATTTTCCAATAGTTTTAGTTTTTATAATGAACTGTGCATATTCTCAGCCCCCGTGTCTGCATGAGTGCTAATTTTATGAAAAGTGCAGATGTCACTTCATGTCAAACGTCATAACTTGAAACTGTCACGTACTGTCATGGACTTATTAAGAACTGTGTTTTTGTGGTTTAAACCTTCAGAACAGCAACATCTAATTTAAAAAATTTGTTCCAGCATGTTGCCTCAAATACTTCAATTAGTAGGAAGACGATATATCATGATGCCTGTTGCTATAATTGGCGGGACTATTGGTTACCTGATTGAAAGCTACATCTCTGATAGAAAAACTCCTGGCCTGGACACAAGTATTGAAGATATTCGAGTGGGTAGACTAGTAGAATCAGAACTTTCTTCGGACCCTACTAATGTTGGAAGTTTGAAAGAAAAGAAGTTCGTTCCCAAAACTATATTTGAAAAAAATCTATCACCTTCTCTGCAAACAACTAGTTAGGAATATGATGGCACTTAGATGTACTTTTTAATTTTGCAGTAGTTTTAATGAAGTTAACTATGCGTTTCTTATGCTTTTTTTCTTTTGTGTATGTAATACAAAATTTACTATTGAGGAAGATGTTATACAACAATTATTGGTTTATAACACTTAAAGAAAACCGTTTTCTACTTCAAGAATCTAGAAAAGTTCAGAAATCAGAGAATTATGATAAATAAAGTGAAACTTAAGCCCATTGGTCTTATTCCTCTATTTCTCGGTAATACGAGACTCACGAAGTCAAAGATGAAGAATTAAGATGTGATGGAAGTTGAAGTTGAAGAAGCAGTGCCTCATCTCCTTCAAGGCAGCTTGGATCCATGTCATTGGGACTACCCCGCGCGCTGGTCGGAACAGGACATGCCCCGTGCGCACAGAGACATTAGTGGATGAAATGTGTATCTCCAATCGGATGTGCTCTCTAACGCCGCCAAGTGAGCTCAATGTTTGAAACAAGAATAGAGCTCCCACTCGCCAAATCATACCAGGAGCGCAGGCTACCTACGGATTGCGGACCACACGGCAGAGTACACGTCGATTCGGGAAGAGGACGCGGCAGGCACCACAGATTTGTCCGCGTCCTGCCCCAAAGCAGCCCGGCTCTGCCCGGCTTACATGCTGCGCCGATATGAGAAATGGAGGAGATCGGAAACCACCGTGTGGCCCATCGCTCAGCGTCG